CTAGATATCATTCAAATCACAAAGAATTATTGGTTATTAAAAATGGAATAAAAAAGTTTAGTTTCTTCTTATTACTAATACATCTTAGGATTAGAATTGAAAATACTTAAGATTAAGGATTTATTTTTAATAAATTACCTTTAATACCAGAGTATAAGAGACGAAATAGGCGACAAACATTCTTTGCTGAATATGACTTTAAAATTGAGCAAGTCAAAGGCACCAATAATTGTCTTACATATTTCTTGAGTAAAGAAGGAGCTAATGGATACAATCTTGAACTCCAAAATGAAGGAAAAGACTTGATTCTTGAAGGTTAGAAGAAACTTACTGAAGGCGATAGCCAAATAAAAGAAGGTCAAGACAAAATAATCTAAGGCTAAGGGATAATTGATGAAGGCCATAGCCTGACAAACGAAGGCCAAGAAAACATTATAAAAGGCCATGAGTTATTAAATAAGGGACAAGATGCCCTTGAAGAAGTAAAAGAGCTCATAGAAAAATTAATTAGATCCAGAGTAATTACTACTATTAGAATCAACTATAGAGAATCAAGTCAGATGGCAAAGAAAAGTTCCTAACAAAAGCTAAAAGAAAAATATAAACAAGGTGATCCTTCAGTAGAATTACTTGGAGAAAGCTCAGGGAAATTTGACTATTATGTCAAATACTTTTCCTTAGAAATATCAACATCTCAAATTAAAAAGCTAGTAATTCAAAGTGCCAAAAATCACAACTTTTGACCTAAATACTCGAGAAAGAAATAAAAGAAAGTTACAATAATAGACACTTGTCAGAAATGACAATGAGTGAAGAATATCTGCAAGAATCTCATAGAGTCTGCAGAATGGCATATTCAATGAGGTCTATTGAGAATTGTCATCCTATCCATATAGGGATTTATCCCAAAATTAATTTCGTGTGAGGTGCAAACCTAAAAGCAATAAAAGAATTATGCAACTATGATTTTGTAAAATCTATTTATCTCTCAAAAAACAATAAGGAAGTTTTAGAGCTTCTAGAAGTTATACACTAAGGAGTGAAAGACTTCAAGACTGGCATAAAAGCTCAATTAGTAGTATTTGTTAAAATCTTCTTTGTAGCACCAGAATGAGAGAAGTCTCAATATTTTCCTTGTCATCATATAGTTCAAATGGAGATTCAACCCAAGAAGATTAAGATAGAAGCAAATGAAGATTAAATCTTCCAAGAATTTGAAGAATTACTTTGTGGAATAAAGTTCATCTAGGAAAGAAGAGCTCTCTTTAATGGATATTCCAGAATAAACTATATCTTTTCTTTTAAAAGGATTATTTGTAAAAGAATTGCTTATAAAAGAATTAGACTTGAATCCTTTTTCTAATGCAAGGTCCATCCCTTTTTGTCTAATTCTTTTATATTTACTTCTATCGAATATAGTTATTCGGCTATGTTCTCCAAATCTTTCATGTTCTTAAGGGTCTACTTCAAACCTTTAATAGAACGATAGACATAAAGAAGACATAGACTTATGGCTTCACTAATGAAATCTCAATACTATCCACTAGAGCAAGACTAATGACAAGCATCAACCTATTTAAAATAAAATAGAAAAGAAAGGAATTCTTTGAGAATTTGATCCCAACCAGTAAAGCAGTCAACAATAGACTATGCAAACTATTAAAGCATGATAATCATTGTAGTTTCTATTATAAAAAAGAATCTGCAGAAGAAAAGGCTAAAACTGCATGTGACAAAGGGATTACTCCCTTAGACAGTGAAGAGGACCTCATTATCCTTTGAAGAATTCAAGGTGAAAAGATGTAAACTCTTACGTCAATAAAGGAAAAGAACGGTGTTGGCAAGATAAGATGTAACCTACTTTATCAAAAGTAGGGAGAAAATTTGGACCATCAGACAAAAATGCAAACTTTAAACATCAACAATGACATAAAAACAGATTCTAAGGAGCACTCTAAAAAGTCTCATATAAGTTGTAAGAGGCATCAAGCATTTGAATACCCAAATACCTTACCTAATAACCTTCCACCATCTATCTATAAACACCTTTCAAGAGGAAAGGGAACTTTCCCTTTATCTTCTCAGAAATAAAAGCATGTTTTAGAATAATTCTTGTGCTTCTATCCTTCCTTATTTCCATCACAAAAACAATGAGAAGAATCCCTGAAAAAACTTAGGCAACAATGAGGTCACTTGTTCTGTCTGAATACTTATGGTAACCAAAGTGTGACGTTGAAGGTTGGACAAAGGAAGCATCAACTTGACCAAGGGCTACACTAAAAGATTTTCAAATATAATTCTAACTCATTTATTTTATCATGCGGAAGCAAGGTAGGCATAGAAACAATTTTATTATTCTTTGACATTATTATTTCTGAGATTAGAAATAATAGGAGATAGTATCTAACCTCTTGTATTTCAAATATAAAAGTTCATTCTAAAAACTTATTTATTAAGATGCTTGACTTCATTCAAAAAATTCTTAGAGGAAGAATTTTATGAGTAGTAATACGAATATTATAGAAACAAAATAGTAAAAATTTTAGAAAAAATGAGTAATCTTAAAGATTCAGATAACTATCATCTCTTTAAGAATCTTAAAAAATTAAAGTGAACAACAATAGATTTAAATGAAGATTTAAAAAGAATAAATGAGGTTAAGCAAAGATTATCCCTGTTATTAGTCTAATAAATTTAATTTTGCATTTACCGAACTTAACATACTAGCTACACATTAGTTTGTAATCTGAGTTAGGTTCTGAAAACCCCCTAAAAATTTGGTATCAGAGTCATAAAAGAATTAAAACACAACAGAAATACGAAAATTAGGATATCCTAGAGCTTAGGATATCCATCGTAGTCATTCGTTGAGTGGACCCTACCCTAAGACTCACTCAACGAATGGCTGTGATGGATGTCCTAAATGCCAAGACGTCCTAATTTTTCAGGCTCTCAAAACACAATGATGTTAAGAATATATTTAAGAAGAGAAGTCAAATTTTGTGAACAACAAATAGACATAAGCTTAAAAATTATAGAAATAGAAGAGATGATTCCATATAGAATTGATGAATTATTATGGGATAGATATATTCTTGAAGTAAGAAGAGCAATAGCTCTAGAAGAATTAAAAATATTAGCAAAATAAAATAAAAATTAGTTTTAAAACAAACTTAAGTTTAAGGACTAAAGTGTCAATTCAGCAAAAGATGAAGATTAAAGGTAAAGGTCAGAATCATGAAAAGTTTGGTCAAAGGGCAAAATCCCTTAGATTTAGTAAGTTAAGGGGTAAATAACCATGACTTATAAATTAAAGAGCAAAAACCCTTAAACTTGAAAAGTTGAAGGGCAAAACATAGATATATGCCCATTAACCATTACAAAACCTGCAGTTTGTCACCTCTCATTCCCTAACCCACAATTTATAGAGGAAAACAAAGATATGGTACAGAGCAGCTTGTCACTTCCCATTCTCTACCACAATTTGTGGAGGAAAACAAAGATATGGTAGGGAGGAATGTTATAATTATAATACATTATTAAATTAATAAATATATAATATTATTGATAAAATTTAAATAAAAAATTATTTATACAATATTAAATTATTATTATAAATTTAAATTATTAAATAATATTATAATTATATTATTTTCAGTATTAATAATATTAAAGGTGGCATGGCATACATGCTTGCCTATTTGTGATGTAAAGAAAACTATTTAATCATTTTTATGAGCTGGATCTAAAGGTACATCTTGATCTTGATGTCCAATAGTTGTTTCATTTCCATACTCCGCTTCTTTCCTTTTGTTATCTTATATATCTATTATTATTAGTACCAGACAAATGCATGAATCACACAAAAACCGCTTCTTCTATATCTTTCATAGATAGAATTAAAAAATCATAGGCTAATAAATTTACTGGCTGAATGATAAGGCTTAACTTTTGTTTAACCATTTAACTTATAGATTTTAAAGTTATTAGCCACTTCCCTAAAAACTTAATGATTTCAATTTCTTAACAATTCGGTTTAAGGGAATTTATCATTATTTAACGGATTTTAATATCACACCGTTAGTCAAATGCTATTTTCATTTTAATTAATGACATAGTTAGCATCTTTATCTTACGTGGTATATCACTGTGGTAAAGTCATACTTTGTCATAATAATTTTTTTTTTAAAAAAAAAACTTGTTTAGAATCTCAACAAAAATAGACAGTTTAACTTTACTAAAGTGGGGTCCATATTATATTAAAAAAGAAATTTTTGTTGATTACCACGGTGGCATGCCAATTAGGATATAAATGTTGACTATGTTGTTGACTAAGATGTAAATAACATTTTATTAATGGTGAGAGATTAAAATCCGTTAAATAAGGGTGAATTCCCCTAGATCATATTGTAAAAGGGTTAATACCCTTAAGTTTTTACGTGGGGGTCAATAACCTTAAAATCTATAAGTGAAGGAACTAAATAAGGGGTTTGACCAAATAATAATATTGTTTTAGTAAAAATAAAATATCTTAATTTAAACAATATACTCCATGAATGAATTAAATAAATAGATGAAAGAACTAGTAGCCTCATGGTCTAATAACAGAGTTACTTAATTTTTAGTTGCAAATCTAAGGTTTAATTTCTAATCATTACGCACTTAAAACGCAAAAAAAAAAAAAAAATAAATAAATAAAAGAAAGGTAAATTTAAAAACAGAACGAAATTTTTATACACAACAATAAATTCAACTATTGCATCCAACAAAACAATAACCACGTGCAAGTGAGATATTATAATGGGGTGCTTTTCTTACTCCAACAAGCCTCATGTTGTGTCTGCAAGACTGCAACTCTGCATACCATTCCCGGCCCAAGGCCCGTTAAACCCCATTATTAAAGAAAAGAAAAGATTTCTTGGTTTTTGTGGTATCACGAGTGAGTTGAGTAAAAGATGGAAGAAGAGATATAAATTTGGAAACACAACACCCAACTTTTGCACACAATAAACCAATAATCCAAGCAGGAGATAAGAGATGGAATCCTTTTCTGTTTCCATCAAGCCCCATGCTGTTTGCATACCATTTCCAGCCCAAGGCCACCTAAACCCCATGATGAAACTAGCCAAACTCCTCCATTTCAAAGGCTTCCACATAACTTTTGTCAACACAGAGTTCAACCATGGACGCCTGCTCAAATATTCTAGAGGTGCGGCTGCCCTTGACAGCTTTCCGGATTTCCAATTTGAAACCATTCCTGATGGCCTACCTCCGCCACAAATCGAAGGACAACAAGATGTTCCTGCTCTCTGTGAGTCCACTAGCAAGAACTGCTTAGTCCCATTCCGAAACCTTCTTGATAGACTCAACTCTACTGAAGGCTGCCCTCCGATTTCTTGTATTGTTTCCGATGGGATCATGAGTTTCACTCTTGATGCTGCAAAGGAATTAGGGATCCCTGAAGTTTTGTTCATGACTTGGAGTGCCTGTGGTTCCTTGGGCTACATGCTCTATAAACCTCTCATTGATAGAGGTCTTACGCCACTAAAAGGTAAATGAGTTATATATGCGTAACATCTAAAGTACAGAAAACCAATTTATAAAAATTTTCATTGTGCATATGGCGTAATATGAATTTCGGGTCACATTATACATGAACAAAAGGAGTCATTGAGTGTTTCTTCTATGTGCTTTGTGCAGATGAGAGCTATTTGACGAATGGCTATTTGGACACTGTTATTGATTGGACTCCAGGGAAAAACATCCGTTTAAGAGACCTTCCGAGTTTTATTCAGACGACAAATCAAGATGATTTCTTGTTAAAGTTCGTGGTGTCAGTGCTAATTGAGAGAGTACAGAGAGCTTCTGCCGTTATCTTCAATACTTTTCATGAATTTGAGCATGACGTTATTTCTGTCCTTACGTCCATGCTCCCTCCAATTTACACCATCGGCCCTCTTCAATTGCAGCTCAATCAAATCCTCCAGACACATTTAAGATCCATCAATTCCAATCTCTGGAAGGAAGAACCCGAATGCCTCCAATGGCTTGACTCAAAGGAACCAAAATCCGTTGTTTATGTGAACTTCGGCAGCGTCACTGTCCTGACTGCAGAGCAATTGGTGGAGTTTGCTTGGGGACTAGCCAACAGTAAGCAAAGTTTTTTGTGGATAACCAGGCCTGACTTGGTTAGGGGAGATTCATCCATACTACCACCCGAGTTTCTCGAGGAAACTAAAGAGAGAAGCCTAATGGTGAACTGGTGCTCACAGGAGGAAGTGCTAAACCACCCTGCTATCGGAGGGTTCTTAACGCATAGTGGTTGGAACTCAACCATTGAAAGCGTTGGTTGTGGTGTACCAATGGTTTGTTGGCCCTTTTTTGCTGACCAGCTGACAAACTGTAGGTATGCTTGCACTGAATGGGGAATTGGCATGGAGATTGATGGTAATGTGAGGAGGGATGAAGTGGAGAAACTCGTTAGAGAGTTGATGGAAGGGAATAAGGGCAAGGAAATGAGAAAGAATGCCCAAGAGTGGAAAGGAAAGGCAGAAAAGGCGGTAAGTCCAGAAGGCTCTTCATTCCTGAATTTGGAAAAATTGATCAAGGAGGTCTTGCTGACGTAAAAGGAGATTTACAAAGTGAGATAAATGAATGAATAAAGCTTAAAAGCATGTACAATGTAAAACTCTTTTCAGTGTTTTCTTAATGTCATATCATTACAATTAATATTAATTTATATAAATTCATATTTTTAAATGTTTAGCCCTGAATTAGAACACTTTTTTCTAACCATTCACCTAGCTTTTTAAAAATTTATATTAATATTAAAAAATGAAAGCACAGGGAAGGGAAGTAAAAGTAAAGGAAATTAAAAGAAAAAATAAAGTAAAATAAAAATTTTTCTTTTTTTCCTCTTTATTTTTTTTATTTGGTATTAACTTCTCAGCATCCAAATAATTATATTGAATTTTGACTAATTTAAGATCTAATCGTGTCAGACCCTATAAGAGAAAAGTTGAAAAAACTCTTTCAACACTTATTTTTTCATTTACAATATTTAAATTTAAATTTTATTTAAAGGAAATCAAATTATTTTTATTTAAATTAACAAGTTGTTTTTTTTATTAATAAAATAAAATATATTTGAGTTAAAAGAAATGCAACAAAGGGAAGGGAAGAGGAAAAAATTTTTCTACTTAATTATAAAAAAGTCTGAAGGGAAAGGAACGAAAACAATTTTTTTACTTTATTTTTTTAATTTATTTATTTATCGAAATAAAAAAATAAAAAGATACAAATTTTTTTTTAATTCAAATATACGGTTAAAAAAGCGTGGAGAGAGTACTTAAAGGAAAAGGAGGCAGACCGTAGTTCACTCTTTTGGTCAGATGAGAACCCCCTTCGTTTTTCATTGATAGAGTTCCCTTTTTGGGTGAGGCGCAGCTCACTTTCTTTCGTTGATGTTTCTGCTATTCATTGCCGAAACAATACAACATAAATAATGTTTTCCAGCTAAGTCAATAACTTTTGCGCCCAAACATAGTGATTAAGATTTAGAAGTTTGGTATCATTTCTTGCAGATTATGTTGCAGTCACTTTGCTGCTACTGTCGGTGCAACTCTCATTTCCTTTGGTTGCCACTGTTGCTGATGTGACATTACAGGCTGGTGCACTTAATTTTTCTTTTACAAAAAATAATGATTAATAAATTAATTTTATTAATTATTAATAATTAAAGATTCGATCTTCGGATTTAGTGAACATCACATTTTCTACAATGAGGTACATGAACTCATTAGGTCATTTGGTGGAGTTCGGTGCGCTAAATTTATTGTCTAAACAAATGTATTATTATTATTTTTTTGAAAATAAACAATTGTATTAGTGTTGTAAATAATATAATTATAAAAAAAATATGTTAAATTTATTAAAATTCTAATTAATTAAAAACAAAAATTGCTGTCACTTCGCTGCTACTGTCGTTGCAACTCTCATTTGTTTTGGTTGCCAACTGTTGCTGGTGTGACATCACAAGCTGGTGCACTAAAATTAATGTGTAAGCAAATTTATTAGTCTTT